ATCAATTTGCTCATTTAATATTTTATATTTTTAAACTAGCCTTAATATTTAAAAACCCACCATGAACGAGAATGATATGTCAAGCATATTAGTCTCTACCTGAGTACATTAGTGTTTGTTGTGTTGTGTTGTATGAGCTAGTTGGTGTGTCAGTTGGTTTTGGTGCTGTAGCATGTTCAACATGCTGCATCATACATCTTTTATGATGTAATACATTCATCTGACCACACTGGAGATTCATTTAGAGAGTTGGAGGAGTTCAAATTTGCATGGTCCAACAGCCTGCAACAATACAAGCAAGCCTTTCATAGGGCACGTTCAGCCTATTACTCTAATCTTATTGATCGCAATAGAAATACCCTTTACTACCTTATTAAGACTGTAGCTTCTCTAACAGATACGGCTGAACCTCTGCTACCAAGTATTATTGGTAGGGAACATTTTATGGACTTTAACAATAAAATTACAAACAATTGACTTCAAACATGTGTTACGACCTCCAGTCTATGGTTGGAGTGTAACAGTATTAAAGGGAAAGGGGAACTGGATAAAGGGACAAAGAGGATAAGGGGAACAAGGGAACACCAGTGGACAAAGGGATTACTTTGTATTTTTATATTTTATTCACACACAATGCTGACACTGAACAAGTAACCCAGTGCAGAAGACTTCGGGAGTGACCACGGCCAAAGTAACAAACAAAATTCCCCAACTACCAAGCCACCTACAGCTAATCTCACCTAAGTGCAAAAGAAAAGGAAACCAAAAGACAAACACTCCACCTGACTCCCTAACCAAATAAACAGAATCAATCACACACTCACATAACAAGATGGCAGTCACTCCCTACCCACCAATACCATCACATACGCAGAACATGCACACAGGCCAAAGTGACAGTTTCCGAGGGGGTGGGCGAAGACGTAAACAAAAGAAAGCAAAGCCAAACAGCGAATCAAACGCAGCAAAGGTACAAAAAGGGTGAGGCAAGAATTAAAAACAAAACAGAATAAAATCCAAAGTCAATACACAGGCAATATACAAGTCAGAAAAGGCAATAACAGAATCGATGAGCAAAGCTGTCGGGACGGCTGGACGGCATCCTTTTCAACTCTGGGACCCAGAAGTGAGGAAGGGCGTGGACAAGATACTGTAGGCCAGGGGTGTCAAACTCCAGTCCTGGGGGGCCGGAGCCCTGTGTAGCTTAGTTCTTTCCCTGTTCCACCACAAATTATTCGGCTCAACAGCTATGTGGTAATTAGCACAAGAAGTTGAATCAAGTGTGTTAAACGAGGGGAAACCCAAAAATGTGCAGGGTTCCGGCCCTCCAGGACTGGAGTCTGACACCTGTGCTGTAGGCGGAGCTGATGCAAAAACACGAGCACAGCCCTGGGGAACTTACAGCACGTAAAGACTCATGTTCAAATGAGTCACAGATAACTCTGACGAAGACACCCTTGATGTTTTTGAAATAATCAATGAGCAGGAGTTCAAACAATAATAACTGAAACCAAACTGACCACTTGTCCATTGGACCCAATCCTCACTCCACTTCTTAAAGAATCCTTGGAAATTCTGGCAAGACCTATAACTGCCACAATGAATGCATCCCTTTCGCCAGGCAATGACACTGACCAATATAAAGTAGCAGTAATCAGACCACTACTGAAGGAACCAAGTTTGGACCCATAGAAGCTCAGCACTTACAGACCTGTCTCTAATGTACCATTTCTGTCCAGAGTTCTGAAGAAGATAGTTACTGCTCAGTTACAGCAGTCATACTTTTAGACACACAAAATACTGGATAGATTCCAGACAGGATTCTGTCAGGGACTCAGAACTGAAACTGCCTTAACTATAGTCATATAATTCATAACATTGGCAACTGTTCCTGTCAGCATGACAATTGAACAATTTAATCTATTACATAGACTTGAATTTGATGATGGGATGTGTGGAAGGATGTTGAATTGGTTTAAATCCTCTTTAACTAATTGACATCAATATGGTCTGGCAAATAACTGTACTCTGTTGTCAAAGTCACCGGTCAAATAAGGAGTACCACAGGGATCAGTCCTTGGGCCTTTATTGTTTTCTCCCTACATGTCGTCATTTGGTAACATGATGAGAAGACATACAGTCAAGTGAAAAAGAAAGTTTTGCATGTAAGTACATAATACTTAAAAAAATTGACCTGGACCTTACCAAGTTCTAAATTTATTTAAA